CTTGTTATGACTATGTTCTGTGTACTGTTTCTTTTCATGGTGGACATGGGTAAAAGTACTGACGATGTTACGGCCTTTGCCTGGATTTCCTACTCCATCTTCATATCGAAAAGGAATTGGATGCTTCAAGGACCATTGCAACGAGCAGTTAGGCGCTCAAATTTTTTGAGATGTTCAGAGATACGGACATCATCAGGACTGTCTTGAATCCACCAGGGTTTTCTTCTCTCAGACCTAGATGAGCAATTCTAGGTGAATTGCGTAGGTGGGAATCTACATTCACTCCACTAGTGACTGGAATCTAATTCAATGATTCAATGGAGAAAGCATGTTCTCTCTGATCGAGAAAGCTAGGTAGTAAAACCGCGCGGAAGGCAGCCTGTACCTTTAATGCTGTTCTCTGTAATGTTGCGCACGTGACCAATTCGGATCATCGTTGACCCAAACGAGTGACGCCCATGCAATGACGGAGGTTGGTCATACCCCATTTCCATCAGCCAATAATCCCAAGACCTATTGTCTCGTTCATCCTGTACACAAAGTCCATTCGCACATATGTATACGAGGGGCCTACAGAACTTGCAGTCCACACGATAGCGCCGCCGTTTCCCATTTCTTCAAGCAAGCTCGATACCCGTGAATTGCGGGGTACTGGGGCCAACCTAGTGCAGCGCAGCGGAACAGTCCAAGAGTCAAGAATGGATCAACGCAAGAAGAAGAGAAAGGTGCTTTTGATGGGGAAGAGTGGTTCGGGGAAGTCGTCCATGCGTTCCATCATATTCAGCAACTATGTTGCGAAGGATGTACGGCGACTTGGGGCTACGATTGATGTGGAGCACAGCCATGTCAAGTTCATGGGGAATCTAACGCTAAATCTCTGGGACTGTGGAGGGTGAGTTTGCTGTCCTTCCTAGTTCCTCTTAAAGGCTGACCTGGTGGCTAATGCGCATGTCAATGAGTCAATAGGCAAGATGCGTTCATGGAGACTTATCTCGCCTCGCAGCGAGGGAATATCTTCTCTGACGTCGCGGTCCTGATCTATGTATTCGACATTGAATCGCGGGAGGTCGAACGCGACCTCGACACATACGCCGCCATCATCGGCGCCCTGAAAGAATACAGTCCCAATGCACACGTTTTCTGCCTAGTACACAAGATGGACCTCATCCAGGCCGAGCACCGCCAGCGCATCTACGAGGAACGCTCGGCACTGATCCGGAGCCGCTCGGAACAGTTCGCAATCGACACCTTTGGCAGTAGCATCTGGGATCAGTCACTCTACAAGGCATGGGCAGGAATCGTCCACAAGCTCATCCCGAACTTGACCGTCATCGAACGGTTCCTCACCGCGTTCGCGAAGAGAATCGATGCAGAGGAGGTCATCCTCTTCGAGCGCTCGACTTTCCTAACTGTGACCTCTGTCTCATCCGAGATCGGTGACATGAACCCCATCTATGATCGCCACGAGCGGCTTTCAAACATTATGAAGGCGTTCAAACACTGCGCTGCCCGCAACACGCACACGACACCAGCCACAGCCGGTTTTCTGGTCATGCACACCAAGACCCCGCAGTTCAACGTCTTTCTCGGCCGCTTCACCGACAATACGTATATCTTCATGGTTGTCCCGCCAGGTGAAGCAGCGTACAACTGTGCCGTCCTGAATACCATGTTGGCCCGGGAAGGCTTCTCCAAGGCCGCGGCGGCAGGGTACGGGGACGGGTTTCCGCTCCCAGCATCGGACTCTCCAGAAGCGAGGATGGCCAATGGTGGCACGGCCTGAGCTAGCACGCTCAAGCCGCACCAGGGCCAGAGTAGGTCTGCGGTCCCTGATACGGAAATCGATGATCAGGCCCAAGTCTGGCTCCGGCCTACGCGCTGCGATGCGAACAATTCAGCTACACCTGGTATGCCCAAAAGCACTGGGGATGACGGCGTTCCGGTTGAGAGTGATGCGTTTTCTTTTCTGTATAAGATACCCAAAGCGTGGCATTTTTTTCGTAAGAACAATTGCCAGTGTTCCTCGAATGTAAATGACATCTATCGTCGAACATTATTTGCATATTGGTACACTTTTCTCTTTAGCCTCCAGATGAGACCAGTCGAATGCTCAGCATACGATCACGCGAGCTCTCGCTCAAATAGGCTTGAACATCGTTTGACCCCTGCTGGTCCAGAGAGGTAAAAATAAAATAGTTTGGAGGATAATCATTATTGAGGGTGTAGTAGCTGTACACTGGGAGACAGGCTCTGCCTGCCACCCGACAACTCGGTCTGGGACAGAAAAGAAAGAAAAATGTCTATTTGAGCTAACGCGACGCTTGAAATCATTGTACATCGGGCATACGAACAGCGATATCGCCAGACTGCGTTATGTATCGAACCCAAGGAAGGGAGGGGTATTGCAACTGCAACAAGAGGTCAGATCATTTGATCTCCAACGGGGTGCCGAATCAACTGGACATACCTTGGGCTCTGTGATCTTCAGGTACCGCACTTGGATACCACTAGTGGTGAAGTAGGGAATTTCAAACTTGACGTTGATGGGCCGCTTGGCTTTGCCTTGCCCGGTGCCGCCCATGCTGCCTCCGAAGCCTCCGGTCATGCCTCCGCCGTGCTCGTCGTCGCCCTTGACGGACGGCAGGCCGAGTTCGGCGCGCATGAGAAACTCCTTCCCACCACCGAACTGCTTGATCTTCCAAATGATCGCTGACTTCTCGGGAGCATAGTGGACGCTTCCGATATTGGTGCGGAACCGGGGAGAGTCTGCATCTTCTGGCACTGGGACGAGAATTTCTACATTGTTTGCAGTGCTGCGACGCTTGAATTGTGCTTTGGCCTTTTCCAAGGGAGTCAGTCCAATGCTACTATAGAGCTCTTTTGATTTCTGAGGATTCCCCTTACCTTCAACATATATTCCATTCGGGAGCCCGAATGTGATTCGACCAGACACTCTACCCAGATTAGAGGCTTGACCTGCGTGTTGAGGCGGTAGCTCATAAGCTCGAACTCTCCGTCCGGCGGAATAAAGCTGATAGTCCGGTCGTTCTCGAATCTGGAAAGTCGGACGCACTGATGGAATTTGACATCCTCCATTTCAACCGCCTTGCCTCGCGTAGCGCGCCCAGTGGTTTCGAACATAACCTTGTCGTTGAGACCTAACCGCAGCTCTGGCATACCACTCAGGTAACACTTCATCTTGATAGCACCCAGGATCTCCGATCGCAAGACGTTTCCGGACGCCGATACAAGGAGATTGAGAGATTCAACAACATCGAGGAAGACTTCGTTCTTGCGATAGCGAATGCCCTCGCTTCGCCAAGAGACGGCGTTTGTGACGGCGATAGGTGGTCGGGCTTGAATTTCAAGCTTGTGCGACTCTTGTGTGATATACCTGGGGTAGGAAAGGCATATAATCAGTCTCTAGTCCTGCGCAAATCCACAACTGCTGGTCACAGCCACTCACTCTTGCAGGATCTTGCTCTCTGTTGTCTGGGGGTAGCCAAAGTCCATCATCTCGTCCAGTAGCTCGTAAATGATGACGAAGTTGTCGCGAATACTCTCTTCCTCCAGCACCTTGAAATATTCTGTAAAGACTTCCACGATCTTGTGGAGGAAGAGGAGGATCTCGGTGGCATTGGTATTTCTCTTGGTTAGGGCGAGGATGTAGAGATTGCTGTGACGAATGTAGAGGTACTAGAGAGGAGCCACCACGTCTTAGCACTTTTCCACTTAATATAATCACGGATAGATAACGCAGCCATATCCGACACTCCCTGTATGTCCTCGTGCCAAAGGTGCTGGTTCGAATAGGGGAGAAGGAGAGTTGCGGGGAGCGGGGAAAGCTCCGAAAGCCAGACAGTGCAGCTTCGCAAGAGTCTCACATACATTGATTCCTTCGTGGGAGAAACACGGAGGGACGGCGGAGCTTTCTTCTTCGGCTTCGCTAAGGAGGATGGGGAACTTCTCGACTGCGGACATGGGAATGTCTCCACGGTAGTTGCGGGCCAAAAGGGTCTACTTGAGCTGTCAGTTTGCGCGTTCCCGGCCTGTCGAGAAATGGGGTTGTTGTTGAGGGCGCATTGCTCACTTTGCCCTTCAGGTCCAGGAAGAATACAGCGGACGCCATTGTGCAGGTCGAGAGGGTGGTGTTGAGGGGGGATAGTATGAATGCCCGGTTGTGTTAGGGAATCGATGGGAGCGGGTTTCAACTGTAGAGGCCAGCGAGTCCAATATGCCACATTCTGCTCGGAAGGGTCAAGATTCAAGAGTACGCTTCCAATGAGCTAAAGCTACAACCGACCAGCCAAACAGAACAATGAACCCGATGCTAGCAGAATTCGACGGAAAGCGAGGTAAGGAGATCGATGCAGGATAAAGATGATGCCCGTTTGGGGTCGCAGTCCAGTCCGTCAACACCTTAATTTTCAGGAACCCAATTTGAGCCCCACGCCAAGTCCTGAAGAAGCTTAGCGGCCCTCCAAGGAAAGGGTTTATAATTCGCTTCTTCGGATTTTTCTTTTCTCTCTTTTCCCTTTCTTCTCTACGCTCCCAATAGACAGTGCAAGGCAGCACAAATTGCCTCGTGTGATTTCTGCGGCCATTGTAACATTCTGTTCACAATGGTCTGCAGGCCTCCATAGTTGACTTGCGATACAGAGGTGCGAAGACTAGAATCGTAATGAGGGTTCCATAAGAGCTGGCCGGGTATTTTACTTTCTGTTACTCGGGCGGCGTCAGAGGAACCGTACATTCCTTGCATTTTAATCGATCTTGATGGCTTCCTTGGGTCTTTCGTATAACGAAGTATATTCGAGAACGAAGAGCTCTGGTATTTGCAGTGATATAGCACAGGTCGTAATAAAAGTACATATACGGTCGAAGAAAAGAGCCCCCAACACATACAAGGAACATCCGAGACGGAGACAGAAAGGAAAACAAAAGGAAACAACGCCCTGATAATGCTCCTGCGGCCATTTCCCAGTAACGAAACCCCGATTTTAAGCTGTCGTCTTAAGACCTAGAGGTGCTAATACCCGCTCTCGTGCCACCTTGTTGGCGACGTGTCCGCCCTTCTCGAGGGCAATAGCACCGATAATTGCATACATCGTATGGGCAAGCACAAGTTCGATTCCAGAGCTGGCGAGGTTGTTTGGCTGGAAGAAATAACCCGTGTCAGCAGGTTCGCGGTCAATTACTCGGACGGGCGAGAATGAGCAAAACTGTAAGAGGTACTAGTCTCACCTTTCGAGGACTCCACCTCAGGACCTTCTGTAACTCGTACTTCTGCGCGAGCTCTGCGAGCTTCGACTTGCTTGTAAGGAAGCTCTTTGTACTAGGTGAGAGGTTGTTCAGGCCGTCCAGGGCCGGGTGGGCAAAGGGTTCGCGACCGAAAGGATCAGGAGTGGTAGAGGTGCTGGCATTTCCGGGGTTCTGCACTAAAGCCAGAGAGGCCTGTAATTGAACAATCCGTTTCCCTATTGCAACAGCAGAATTAGTCTCCCGTGAACTACCATTTCATCCGACGCATGGGAATCCAGTATGCGCACCTAGGAAAGCCAAGCGATCATTAAAGCCTCTCCGTCCTTGATCGAAGCTCTTATGTGTCACAGCCAGCCACTTTACCTCCTCCGAGAGAACCTTGTCGCCATCGGCGCCCAGCATGCGGATGTAAAATTGGTCGAGAATTTTCGGGTCTGAATTGACGGGAAATTCACGTCTCTTAGAGTCGAATCGCAGACTGAAGGGAGCCTTTGCGCTTGGAGGAGTATAGGACCATCGCGGCTTATCGGCAGTGTCGACTGGTGCTTGCTCGGTTGTTGTCGACAGTCCGCGCCTGGCGATGATTGTAGCAGGTACAACGGTCGTGCTGGGACAGGCGAAGCGACATGTAGAGCAAAGAGCGGTCCTGGCCGCTCGGGCAGGTATCAAAGATGCCATTGTCTTTGCAAAATGAATCCTCCGGCTGTTGAAACTGTAAACCGTGGCAATCCACCTGTCCGGTTCTTTTTTTTTGTAGCGATAATCCAACAAGAGTCGGCGGTCCAGCTGGAAGAATTCGGAGATATGGCGCTAGTCCCGAAAGGGATAGCGCGGGTACGTACAGTAAATAGTTATCGGGATCTTCAGTCAAACCACCCAAGGCTATCCCAACTTCCTTGGTGCATTCGCATTGTTCGCTTTTAACTATTGTTATGGAGATGTGAAATGATGCAGTTAAACGCAATTTCACGAATTTGCGCAGTTTCCTCCGGGACAAGCGCAGTCATAAATGAGGAGCTATGCCGGTTCGACAGCGAAGCGGCGGTCTACAAGACGTACCACGTACCTCGTACTTAAGTCAAACGGGTACAGGCATCTCAGAAGACGAGTCTGTGGGTGCGCCGCTATACTTTCAACGCTCGTCTAGACATTTCGGAGGCGCTTGGAAGTACACCCCTTGAGCAGGAAAGCAAACAGACTGCCAAAGACATCCGTCACTACGACACTGAGGACCAAATACTAAACAGAGTGTCCTGCTTCGACAACCTTGCGTATGCGTGAACTACCTTTGTTCAATACCATCTTACACATTCAGTGGATCTCTTCACGAGGCAAAGTTATTGTTCTCCCGTGTGAGATGATTTGGATTATAGTTTGACAATTAGGCCTTGGCTCCAAATATCTGGCTTGCGAGAATAGATGACTCCGGGAAGTCCAGCTTTCAATGATGACTCTTTCAGACCGTAACCGAATCTCTTTAAGCCAGATTCTGCTTGGAATGCCTCTACTGTTAGATCACAAAATAGTCGAAGACCTTATAATGGGTATATCATCCCAATCAGTCAATAACACCTGCTGTATCTTATGCGGCGAAGTATCGGGGAATAGACGGCGTCAAAGTAGTGAAAGAGCGGTAAGCACTCAATGGACAAGGGGAACCTAGGTAAGCACTTCAAATTACCCGGCGCATCTGATCCAGGTCACACTGCACTCACAAGTCAAGCAGGACCTTCGGAAGCTGACTCGCAGCCACCCGGGAATTAAACGCTTTTCTGGAACATCGTTTGCTTGGTCACACTGCAAAGCCAGAATAAGCTTAAAATATCCAGCTTGATAAATGAGCTAGAACATGTCGTGATCTCTGCTGAATTAGCTTGCAGAAGGCAAGGTAATCCGCGGAACTCCTCAACTGAGCTAGGAGATATCCTCCTATAGATGGTCTTTCTCCAGGCGGGTTGCTGAAGAGTAGAGAACCCGCGACCAAGCCTTCCCACACCAACGCTGTGCGACAAGATCTCACCATGAGGGCAGTCCCTTCAGCCATCATCGAGGCAGCTATATTGCTAACAGAGCAGTGTGCTGGCTCTAATTGTAAAATGGCTTCAGGGAAGACAATGATCCAACTCGCCGCTTGTCTGAATACAGACATCTTGATCGTGAGCCCACTTTCCCGCCGGTTTTTGCTGAAATTCTTTCTGACAGGTGTGATCCCCAGGGAGAATGGAGCTTGTCCACGTGCTTAGATGTAGTGATCATGCTTTGATTCATGTGTTTTGAGTCGCGCAGATGATTCATTTGTACACCCAGAAACACCACCATTTTTCCAGCCAAATTCATTGAAGTCCTCATTCTGAGCTTGCTCCGGAGCCGGACAGCGAGATATCGCCGCCAGCGCCTGAGTATATCAAGGTATTGATGCTAATGATGGGTGCTTGTCGAAAAGGAAGGCCCAGCAAGCGGATTGTTTGCCTCAGACGCTGGATCCCTAATGATTGATACTGGCAGGGGTAGACTGACTCTACGTTCTCTTGCCCAGTAGAAGTAGTCCCCAGTACTCTTCAGCCAAGCAGAGTGACCGATCACGGACCTACTCAAACATCTGGATAAGGAAACTTCTTCATCGGGGTAAGATGCTTCCAGAAGCGATTCCATTACCCCAGCTTGTTCAATTAGAGTATCGGTGTTGACCTGATTGATAACGTTCGGCCCAAAACGTATTACTGCAACAAGCCGCGACGATCAATATCCCAAATCCGCTGGTGTCACTACCAAGTCGGGATCTGCGCCGTGGGGTTGCCATGGTTCGTGGCAGCAAGAGCGCGCTTTGACATATGCGATGGCGTTGAGCATCTTCTGGTAGCGACGAAGCCCTGCAGTTGCTCGCCAGCGGAAGCTCTGAGGGACGAGAAGACGGAATTTGGGCAAGCTGTCCAACAAATTGGGCGCCCTCGGGCCCTTGCAGGCATGAATGAGGAAACTTCTAGATGCAAAGCTCAGACGAAGGCAAGCACGTACATATTCAGTAGAACTTCCGAAGTGTCAGATCCAAGCGGCCTCTTCCCGTAAGTCGGATCACCAGCGAGATGGCGGTGTACAACCTAACCTGCTAAGGAGAACACATTCTGAGCCGTCAATGGCCGCAGCAATATGAAGTATTAAAAAGGCGAGACTGACCTGGTTACCGATGATGAACTTCAGCAATTCTCAAGTGGCCTAAGTCCAGTCGAAGGAAGCCTTCACAAAAGACAAGCTCTGAAAAAGACCCTCCTGTTCAGTCGTATTCCACCAATAGCTTCCTGTTGCCTATCTCAAGCTTCACACAGTCAAGCAGAGATCCCTAATCGTCCTCAACGATGGCCTTTCAGCAGATTTCCGGCCACACTGTCCTTGCGAATTCCGAGCCCTTCGCGAAATGGGGCTTTCGGAATAATCATGAGAGCGCTGCTAGCTACTCGATAGGCAGCTTTTCTGTTCAAGATCCACCATCACCGAGACCGTTTCCGCCTAATCCTCCTCCAAGTCCTGCGTGAGTTCGTGAGTTGGCTTGGCTGTTGGCCTTAGTCTGAGATGATATACAGTAATAGGTAAGCCAAGCAGGCCTTGAAATTCCCTTCGTAGATTTCCATACAAAGGAGATATGTGTTAGCTCAAACGGCAAAGGCTGACATAATATCAAGAACTTCCGAAGCAATTCATCATGATCTCATGAGCGGAAACGGAAGGTTGGGTGAGGAGGCATTGGGAAGGATCCTCATTTTTAGACTTGCATGATGACGTGGGGAATCCATAGATTGTTTCTCGAGGATCGCGTTGATCAAAGAGGAAAGATAGAGACTGTAGGTTATAACTCTATACCATCCTGAGCACCATGAACACCATGACCTGTAATCAAATTAGTCGGCTGTCTAATAGATCACMAATTTTCTAATGATCAGAGCCTGCTGATCCCATTGGGGGTAGGCACAGTCCGGTCATCACGAAGCAGAATCGCTTGTCTCTTAAAAGATCCTACATCGGTATTTTCCTCGAATCCCCCCATGTAGTCTAGCAGGCATGTATGGGACAGTGGACCAGAGAGACAATTCACATATCAGTAATCATTTGAACAGTATAAAATATATTGTATGGGAAAACAATTTTTCAGAAAACAACCAACTCAAAGGTATGTAATACAATAGAAATCACAGCAAAGCAAGAGTCAGTGCGCTAACCACAGTCAGGCCCACCACGGTCCAGCCAGACTTGATAACCTGCTGGTTGGAAATTCCACGGCCAAGATCCCAGATCAGATGGCGCACGCCGTTCAAGCAGTGGTAGACAAAAGGGAAGGCAACGGTACCCTTGATGAGAACCTTGGCGGCAATGGGCAGAGCGCCAAAAGCGGCAGCGATAGAGGCCGATTCAAGGTGCCAACCGAACAGAGGGGCGGCGAGGTATGCGGTTGCGAAAAGGTACAAGGAGCCAGAAAGAGCAACGCCGGTGATACGGTGAGCGCTAGAGCCAATCCAGGTGATCTGGGGACGGTAGATGGAGAGGTGAGGGGAAACGGGGCGGTTCAAGCGCTGTTGGGCGAGGATCTTGGAGGCGTCGGCTTGGGATGTGGTGGAAGCAGCGTGTCTGGTCATACGTATCAGCATTTTTCCATTCCACTTCCATGATATTCCTTCTGTTGTAAAGTGTTGATGTCTCGCAAGTGTATTTCAGAGTGTCGCATGACGTAGCGGCCAATATTGCCAATATGAACGGACGGAGGTATTGGTGCGGAACGATCCAAAAAGCACAAGTTGGACAGCGATATTGTGAGCTGGCTCACCTCTTCTGTACATTCCTTCCCATAGCAACAGCAGCAGGAGACGCAAAGTTCATCAGAGACCACCGCATTGCGTAGGGCTGCTGGACGGCAACTGCAGGACGGTTAGCGAGCCTCGAATACCAAGCCAAGCAATGGGCTGTACATACGCCGCCGCAGCGATTGCTGAGCAACCTTCTGAGAGATCATAGTGAAACACAGGGTCTCAATTCAAGTATGCAAATGATCAAACCCAGGCAAGACGCTGGCCGTCGTCGTCGTCGTCGTCGTCTAGAAGAACCTCTCGAACTTGAGTGCCGGACCTTCTCGTAGCGGTTCGGAATCACGGGATAGTCAACCGCGGGCAAGGCCCAAGTCACGGGATTCGGCTGTACAGCGCCCACTCCAGCCAATCATTCCGACCGTATTACCACACGGAAGATTCTTCTTCCATTCCACCACCGCTCTCAGTTTCCGTGCGTCCCTTTTGTGTGCGAATTTCCTATCTCCTTTCTCTTCCTTTTCCCTCTTCTTCTCAAGGGTCTCAGCCCACGTCGTCTACCGTCTGGAATGATGTTGACGTGCCAAGCTGAACCTCACTGGTTTCGGCATTCTGTCGCGACCGCAGAGGTTATTTACGAGATACCTGAGAAGGAGATCTTCGTCCCGTCGTTAATCGCCCATTCTTCTCTGCCCATGAGACTAAAGGGTTTCATATCAGGGTTACATAATACTGTCGCGTAGTCTAGAGTTGCCTAAATTCTAAGTAAGCCTGCAGTGATACTGGCGGCGGACTTCCTAAGTAATTCAGCAGGTATGTCTATATTATTTAGCAGCTGTGTACCCTCAGCTGTCAGAACCGACGATCAGGGCAAGGATCAGGCTGAAGTCATCCGTATGGTCATGCAGCTACTAGCATTGATCTGATATTGCATGAATTCCCAAGGCATTTTGCCCCTGATATACTTCAATGTGCTCGGCCACACATGCTCCCTTCTTCGTCAGAGAGCCTGTCTCTATAACGTGGTTTGGACGCTTCCAAATATTGAGATGAAGACCATTAAAGCTGTGCATTAATATCGGCCAACTGGCTTATGTATTTTGTTCATTATTATCAAGCCACACTACGAAAGATCAGCCACAGCGTGTTTATAACTGCACGTCCATTACAAGACATGTACTGGCTCGGGCACAACCTACAGAGCTTCTGGCCGGGGTCAATCTAGCTGGCTCTCTTAGCAGAAGCACCAGATTCAAGTCGACAAGATGCATGTTGCAGAGTCACCGCAAGTCAAGCGCACGATTCGTTCCATGTTATTGCGCCTATTCAACGCCAATTAGAAAATCTTCACAGCATGATTGGTGCACCAGACGTTCAATCTTTAGGTGCTTATATTGCTCTGCTTAACGAGGCAGATGAGATGAAAGACCTCTATCCGACATACAAGGCTAAGGGAACTTGTGGTTCTGAGCATCTCGTGTCTGGTTCCAGCAAATGTCGCGAATGATGCTACTTTGTTGTTTGAGCAATCTTCTTGTCATCCGTGGTTGTTACCTTTGTCTGCGACTTCTACCCGAGTCCTGAAAGGGTGGTTGGCCCTCAGAGCCCATTATCATCTACAATATGGCGAGGACGAGTACATGGCTTTCTATGTCCGGTCATGGGCTTTACGCTGAAGTCTTTGGTGCTGTCTGTCCCTGTGGACACCGTCTCTTCTTGGGCTGTTTGCACAAATTTTATGTGACGTCTTGCCCTGCCGTCATCGCGGCACCACCGTTTATGGCGGGGAGCCCAACTGGAACAGAATGGGCGCAACCGGGATGATTTATCTAGTCCTTCGCTGCTACTCTCACGAGTTGTTGTCATTGAAGGAAAGAATTTCTATGGTCTGCAGGGCGGAGGATTGATGGACTGAGTAAGGTTAATGTATATCTGAAAAACGAGACTATTTGGCTTAAGTCATTTAACCGTAAAAAGATACACCGCGGGGTAGATAGTCTAGGTGCTAGACTCACTTAACAGTCGTGACTATTGCAGTGGAGCAACCGAATGTTCGTAGGCCAGTCGGTTTAAAGCTATGGCGACGAACCCCTCGATAGGTACAACTTCGGACATTATTGAAGCGATGTTCTTCGGCCCGACGTCATGCGCCTTTGAAAGATACCTCAGTCTATCGGATAAGTTTCCTTAGTTCTGAGCGTTGTTTGTCATGAGGGGAAGCTTCGTGGCACCCCTATTTCTATATCTATTCAACAACAGACTCTCCCCTCTCTTCGGTATCCCAAACCCAAAGGCATCGTAAACTCTCAACGTCCTACTCCAGCCTAGCATCCTTCGATATTTCTAGTGAACACCAACAAGATGGCTACGATGCAAACTGGCTTAGACGTTCTCCGCAGGAGAACCATCGTCGACTGTGACACAATGGATGAACTAGGTACCTATATCAGACTCCCCCAGTGAGATGTTTAACTCAGTCTCTGCGGGCTGTCTATTAACAGACAACAAGTTGCCAGAGACTTGGGTCCGTTCCAAGACTGCACTTCAAACCAGGTAGGTTGCACTGGTCGTCGCCTAGCCTCACAAGTATCGGGAGTATGATCTGATTTGGAAAACTTGGGATGAAGGCGATTGCGTACGGCGAACTGTCGAAGCCAGAACACATAGAATTGATCCGCAATTCCATCTCAGACGCCAATGATCTTCTGCACAGATTCAGTGGCGTCACGCTGGAGGAGCTGGCAGTTGAGATTGCGGTAGGGACAGTTTTGCTATAGTACTAAATTTAGGTGCTAAGTAGCTGACATGATTGTATAGATGGTTAGATTAGCCTTGAGAATAGCTCCTCATATCCGTGGACACGTTCATGTTCAGACGAACCCTTACTACTCTTACTCCACCGAAAGCACAATTGTGAACGCTTTGAGTATGTCAACGGTTCCTCTGAAGGGATTCCGCTAACGAAGCACTTCTGCCACAGGAATTGTCCAACTCTTCCAACACCTGCAACCAGGTTTTGAGCAATCTCGTATCTGCATCAAAATTCCGAGTACATGGGAGGGCATGATGGCTTGCCGAGCTCTTGAGATGGCCGGTGTGCGAACGCTAGCCACGACGCTCTTCACAATGTCCCAGGCCATCTTAGCGGCGGAGGTTGGGTGCACGTATATAGCCCCTTATGTCAATCAATTGAAAGTCCACTACGAACCAGGGTGAGCCCGACATCTCCAGCGAATTGCCTGGCTTGTTCCGAGCAAGGTTGCACTGACAGGGCGCCAGATTCAAGGACCCAAACAAGCTCTTGCCTCTCTGTGTCTCAATTCAGAAGCATTATAAGTCCATCAATGCAAAAACGAAGGTCTTGCCAGCTAGCTTGACATCCACAAACGAGATATATGCACTGGCAGGAGTCGACCATATCACAATCGCGCCAGACCTCCTGAAACAGCTTTCGCAACCCAACTCTGCACCTCAGATGGAGTCTCTCTTTGACTCTGATGTTCCACTAGCAATCTCTGTGGCACAGCAGTCATTTGTTAACGACGAAGCCGCTTACAGAATTGCCTTCACACGGGACCTGCACGGAGCAAGTGAAGAGAAACTCACACAGGCAAGTTTGGATGAAGTATGACACAACGTGGGAAGACAGGATGACTGACTCCATTGCAGGCAATCAATATCTTCTGCGACATGCAAGACAAACTTGTGCAGCTCATGAAATCAAACATGGGTTAGACACGAAAGTAAATTTAAGTTCCGCATGAACCAGACGTCGAGTGGGAGACGGAGTATAAGAAAGATGGTGAATCATACATTCATACGCGTAAGACAACGTTTGTACAGAAAAAATAAATAATATACAGGTCTGTACAATTTCTGGAGTCTTGCAAATATCTGGGTATCAAGGAAAAGATCAGTGGAGGAGTAATTCCGACTGGGATCAACAAAAGATGAGAGCTGAGAGCGTAAGTCCCGGTCAGAAAAAGATGTAAGAACAAGAGATGGCACGAACCAGGAGTTTTCGGCTTGAATAGACGCAGCAAAGCTCCTTGTTGCACCATGAGCGTCGCCGCTAAGCTTCACGGAAACGAACTCGACTCTTTGAAGGGCCAGAACTCGTAAGGGAGGGAATGAGTTATTGCGTTGGCGCGGAACGTCCACATACTCAACCTGGCTAGAAGAAGTTCAATTTGCGCCTTGCGGCTCCATCCTTTGGTGGCTCCTGGTTTGACACCCCTTCAGCAGGGACAACGGGGTCCTTAGATCGAGACTTCTCCGCCTGCTGTTTCTGCTCTTGCTCAGGCTTCACTGAACGACTGGGTTCCGAGCCTGGGTTCCTCCGATGCCATAGGGAATCTTCCTCCTCGATCTCGCGAAGAACTGTGGGACGAGAGAATTGTTAGTCCTCATAAGAGCCATGTATGAAGCGACCAGAAATCCGCACCTTCTTCCCATTCTCTCTCCTTTGCCTCATCTCCGGTGCCCAGCAATTTCTCTACATCCACCTTCTCCCCTCTTTGTATTTTCTCAATCACCTCCCGTAGAAGTCGAATCTTTGCGTCGGTTGATCGAGTATATGCATTATATTCGTTCTTCAAAGCAATCATTCGGATGGCTTGCGACCCGATCAAGATGAATATGACGATGTAGAAACTAGCCGGATTCCATTCTTTCGACTTAGTAGGGGAAGTTTCCGCTTTAGCGCGCCGATTTCGAATGAACTTGGGGATCATGGACTGCCATAGCGATGGTTGAGCGATCTTTGGCATATGTGAAGTGGAGTACTGGCAGTATCGCGGTGAGACTTGGAGGCGAAGTCTCCCGAGCGTCCGGGGGCCCGGTAGACCACGGACCATATGGTATAGACGAGTCGTAGACATGCTGATGATGCAGAATATATTATTTTCTTGGCTGCGACACGAACTACGAAGTTAAGATCGGCCAAAAAGGCCTTTGGATCGGAGAGTCGGGGAACCGACGGCGCTATGCCTGTGCGGGAGTAGTGTGTGTCCGTTGCTGCGACAACCGCCGCTTGAGGCTTGGCTCGACGCTGAGAGGCACTGACGGAGTTGACATGAGCTCCGCAGCCTCAATGCGTCTGTGGCCGTAATTCATGGTCACATCTAACATTGCAGGACTTCAACTGACTACAGATCGATATGGCAGTCGCAACACTACTTCCTGAATCCTCACTGGATTCGGTGAAGCAAGCCGTGCGCTCAACCTCAACATGCTGTAATGCCACAGTGTTGTCCCTCCAGTCTCTTTTTCGCGGTACATCGAAACCGATCCCAGACGCCGAGAGCGAACCTATGAAGAAGACGAGTCGGACGAAGAAGGTCGTGACTGGATCCTCAGGACGGAGTAGAGCGACAACTAAAACAAACGTCTCCGCCAAGGGTGCCACAACAATTGCTGCGATCGAACATGATGCAGCACGTTTGTCATGTCAGGAAAGGGTTTCGCTGGCGACAGAGATCTTTAATACGACGTTGAAGACACTTGCAGATGCATCAAAGTCATCCGAACCTCGTGTACCGACTACGCCTCTTCACCCAGCTTCACCTAATCGCGTCACAAAACCGGCGAGGAGATCAAAGACACCACAGCATGCACAAACGAATGCAGCCAAAATTGACGGCGGCCTACTCGCAGTCGCTGAGTGCGCTAGTCTAGCACTTGCCTGCTTGAGGAATATGAAAGCCGAACAGAACAGCCAGGGAAATGGGCCGCTTAATATCCAACTCGAACAAGGCGCATGTGTCTTAGCAGGGAGATATTTATCGCTGGGACTGAATGATTTGGCCTACAAAGAACTACGGGGCCTTAAGAGGAGGGTTCAACAATACTTGGATAGCCAGGAAATCGGCAAAGACGCCACTGTCGGGCGGAAGGACCAGCGAAGCACGGAGGAAGAAGCTGCCAAGGAACGAATGTCCGATCTCATATCCTTTAAGAACCTATCTCACGCTCGACCATTGCACAGCTTGATTATTTCCTTCCAGTCCAACGCCCTTCGGCTCATAGCAGCGGAGAAACGAGCCGCGACAGTGCATAAAGTCTTGACTTCCTTGCAATTGACAAATCCAAGCAGCCCAGCGAATCTGATCACTTCAGCGGTTGATTCCCAGACGATGACGCAGGACAAGGCAGCTATGCAGCTTCAATTGCTATCTAACACGATAATGTCTATGTGCTCCGTAACACAGAAGCCAAACGATAGCAGCGCCTCCAAAGAATCACTTAAACCGATAACGTCATTGACCCTTCAACTATTGTCGCTTGAGATTCGGTGCATGAGCTGGAAATTGTCTGATCATGTCTGTGACGACGTGAAAGAGATGTGGGAGCCGCTGGCGCGTTATTTAGCGGCTTTCGTCAACCATTTCAAAGGTATCGAGAAGGCTGAGTTCGCTGCAACATACAAAACAATCGTCCGACTGCAGGCAGCTGTCGCTAACTCACAAAAACGACCTTCGTCGAAGTTGAGAAACAATCTTTCGGTAGCCCGGATAGCAACCATTCTCGGACAACTTGCTCAAGAAGCAGGATGTTTCGAGGAGGCATCAACCCTTTTCTCTGAGGCTCTCAATCCTCTGGCGGACGAAAGTTTGCTTTCATCAGCCACTGTACGATGCAAACTCGCGGCACTTCACTTGCAAGCTTTGAAAAGCTCGACCAAAATGCGTCAACTGAGCGCGTCCATGTCTCTCTCTGAAGTTACTGCAGCCCTTGCTACGCCTCTTAGGGGAAATGAGAATGACTTAGATGAGCTGCTAGTCGAAGCAGCGAAGTTGAAAAAGATTGCAATGAGCTGGCTGGGGGAGAAGGTTGTCAAGGAACATCATGCTACTGACGAGGAAAGGGAGATCTTCCCGAAGATTTACGCATATTTGAACGGATTTGTGAGATTCCTGCGACGATACCTTGGGAAGAAACCTTCTGCAGATGAGCATCAAGGAAACCTCGAGCTATTCTACAAGCGGCTCGACACTTGTAGAAGCATCGTGCTGGCTGCGGTAGATTCAGCTCTCGCAGTTGGTAAATTGTCCGTCATGTCACAAAGTCCTTCATGGGAGTCACTGCTTTCGACATTCTCCGACTGCCAACGCCTCCTGGTGGCGATCGAATGCACAGCAGAAGGGAAACAGGAGCGATCGGATGAGAACGAGAGTGGCATGGGATTTGTGAAACTGTCCAATCTGTTCTGGTCTCGGTATATCAAAGACAAGGAGTCCGGGAAAGGTTGTCGCGAGCTCATGCATACTTTGAGACAATCAATCAACTTTCTCGAGAATTGCTCGCCGGCTCAACGAAGAACAGGATTCGCAGCCTTGAAGTACGAAAGACTCGCTCATTTATACCTCGAAGCGAACATGGGCGTTGAATCTGCAGAAGCATTCAGAGATTCGCTCAAGGAGCATATTAGTGCAGGGGTCTTGAAGCAACTCCTATCCAATACCGTCAGTGTCTCTCCGCACCGGACGTGTCAAGACCCGAAGAGCAGCAGTTTTACTTTCAACCGCATACTTTCTGCATTTTTGAGGACGAATTTGCGGCTCCGGGACACGAAACATGCCAAGTTCTTCGATTGCCCTACCGTTGAGTCCTTACAGAGGGGCCTCCTTCTGGAATGGCAGCTCGGTATTCTGAGCGAATTACCATCTCAGGCTCATAATGATGAGGGCTTCCCTTCGGTATTTGATACGCTCCTCAGTACAGTCTTGGAAGTATACTCTCCTGAATCGCGGCCCATCCGTCGTCTACGGGTCATCTTGATGGGTTTGCGCTTCTCTCTGGAGCACTCAGGTTCTCTAGAACTTTCAACCATCAGTCAACTTGTCGAGGAAAGCGCCAAATGCCTCAGCAGCGCTCAAGAAGTTGGCAGCGATACTGATATGGAACTTTACGCGACACACTTGAAGAATTCAGTTTGTCTCACTCTAGGTCTTCATGAGGGGAACCTACGCTCAGATGAGTTGGATCGGATACTGTGCTCGTGGAATTCAATGATGCGCAACTGTCCAGACAAAGATACGCTCTCTTCCTACGTTGACGATGTGGACTATTACTTTCTTCAGGTCAAAGCCATTGTAGATTACACGGAGATTTACGGGCTCTGGAAACTCCAGCTCGTCGCTCTCGAACTGGTCCTACGCATCACGGAGGTCCAAGGGACTAGGGACTTTTCTGAAGCCATGATCATATTATCACGTTTGGTTTCGCAGTACTGTCGCTTAGGGCACTGCAAGAAGGCCGAAGCTCTCCTTACGCGCGCTGATCGATATCTGAACGAAAATGAAGTCTCTTGCCTGGCAAATCTATCGTACCGACTTGCCCGAGTGGAATACCTACTCGAGACGGGAGAACTGGAGAAGGCAGCAGGCATTCTGTCGACATCAAGGCTTCTGTACGAGAAGAATCAGAAGAAGGAGGACCTGAGTAACGGCTCTATCATATCCAAGATAGGATGGGAAAGATTGGTGGCGGATGCGGTTCTCATGAGTTCGCGGCTTTCGTTCGCTCAAGGCTCTGTGACGCAGGCTCTTTTCTTTGCCAAATTATGCGTCAAGCTGAACTGCCGAATCTGGGCGAAGGTTGAAAGGATATCCCAAAGGAAGCAGGAGAGATCCTTGTCTGCAAGCCGCGGCTCCGACCTTGAGAGTGTTGTTGATGGAGTGGCAAGGCTTGATGTGTCCCAGTCAGTCTCAACGACAAATCACACCGTCAGTTATTCTCAGGGAGCTCCGTTTTGGCCTCATGTCGGCTCGCATCATACTGCTCTCTTGAATCTTGCATACTTTTCTGCCCACTATGGTCTATTTCAGGACGCTGTCTACTACGGGGAGCAAGCCCTAAAGATCAACAGAACACTCAATGCGAACGTCCGGTTGATCGCTTCCCAAGCCCAGCTGGGCTCTTACTGGATATTTGGTGGACGTCTCTCAGAAGGTCAAGAGCTTCTAGCAGCTGCAGAGCAACTATCAAAACAATTGGAAAGCAGTGTTGAGCTCGCTTCTCTGCAGATGAGCATTGCCTCCCTTCACAGATTGCAGGGCAACTACCACGACGAATGGCAAGCTCTCCTGAGGGCGGACCGGATAATGGCCGACGTGACAGCCTTGGAGACAGCCGAACCGCTTCCTCTACAGTCGACCATTTCTGAGCTGGAAGATGGAATGGACAAACTACGAATTCGGGGAAGTAGCAGGAGAACACAACCTAGTACAACAACAGCCCGGAGAACTCGTGCGACTACTGTATCCTCAAGGACAGCACCGAAGCAGTTGGCCGGCAAACCGGACGCAAATGGGACAATGTCGCAGTCTATCTCGCAACTTAGAAGTGGCATCCTCCAACAACAGGCAGCATGTTCGCGTGCCCTAAGAGAGTTTGAGAAAGCCTCGCGACTGTTGACTGACGCGCGAAAGTTTGCTACGTCTCGAAACAGCCAAATATCGTTGCATCTAAAAGAAAGTGAACATCACCTTGCTGAGGCCATACGGCAATTCGCGTCGCATGCGGTCTACTGTGTTCTGCCAGAATCGACAATATCCCTCCCTGCTTTACAGTCGCCGAGGAAGGTGACGAACGAGGAGACCCCTTCCACTAAACAGACCACTACACGTAAGTCACGAGCACCTGCCAGAGCAGCGCGGTCCAAACATGCGAAAGCTAGCGAGGATTTCATCGATATTTTGTCCAAGGCTGGTGATTGTCTGAACAACGTATTTTCCGCTGCAACGGCTCTGGGATCAACTTTGGACAGCCATATGGCGTCCCGGCTGATGAGCCGCATTTCAATGTTGTCTCATACGACTGCGCCTGGGAGTCCAATGCCATGGTCTCAGCCGCCAGCGAATGTGAATGGTAGGTGTTGCCCTAATCGTCAGTACTGGATAGATCACTAACTGAGCTGTCAGAAATCGGCCGTATCGGCGCCTTTACGCGCGAACGAATCGCTATCGGTATTGATAGGCAACTTTCCGACTTCAATGATCCGCTGCTTTGGCCAGGTCATGGCTCTCCAGCAGAACCTGAGGTAGACCTATGCAGCACCTTTACTGAAGAATATATCGATATTCTTCCGTCTAACTGGAATGTACTTTCCTTGTCCGTCAGCGCCGACTGCACGGAATTCATCATCTCTCGGCTACGCAAGGATCACTCGCCGTTCCTCCTTCGACTCCCATTAAAGAGAGGGAACACCGAAGACGACGAGGAACAGTTCACGTTCGAAGACGGAAGAGGAGAGATGAAGGAAATTATCAAGCTGGCGAACGAAAGTGCACATGCCGCGAAGTTACAGAAGGACAGGCACTCCAAGAAGGAGTGGTGGAGAAACCGCGAAGCCCTCGACCAGCGCCTGCAGAACTTGCTGCAAAACATTGAGAACGTCTGGTTCGGTGGTTTCCGGGGCATCTTTTCACCGGTGGCTCACAACGAGGCTGCCCTCTCGCGGTTCGCAACGTCGTTTCAGAACATCCTAGACAAACACCTCCCTTCCAGACAAAAGGGCGGCCGTGCAGCAACTCCGAGGTTGTCATTACATCGCAATGTCTTGGAGTTGTTCGTTGGTGTGAACGACCTAGAAGGCCAGGAAGACCCTGAGGAGACATTGATGGATCTGTTGTACTTTGTGGTCGACATCTTGCAATTCCAAGGGGAACGCAATGCCTATGACGAAATCGACTTCGATATGATGGTGGTCGAGACCCTTGATGCCGTGCGAGGCTACCATGAAGCGGTGCGCCGCTTACGAGAAGGACAGCAACCGCAACATACTGTCTTAGTCCTAGATAAGGCACTACACTTGTTCCCGTGGGAATCACTTCCATGTCTGGAAGGATTGCCGGTATGTCGTGTGCCGTCCTTGGAATGTCTGCGCCAGCGGATTCTCCAGGCTGAGAGCATCATCAAAGTAAAGGGCCGCGGCCCCGGATTTGCTATTGACCGCGAAAATGGTACATATATTCTCAACCCTACAGGAGATCTTCAAACAACGCAAGACACTTTCGAGGCCGACCTTGGCCGCTTGGCTACTTGGACGGGGATCGCCAAGCGAGAGCCGACCGAAGAGGAGTTCAAAGATGGCTTGGAATCCAAGAGCCTACTTTTGTATTTTGGCCATGGGAGCGGCGCACAGTATATCCGTGGAAGGACCATCAAACGTCTTGACCGATGCGCAGTTACATTCCTCATGGGATGTAGCAGTGGCACACTGACCGAAGCGGGCGAATACGAGCCATACGGGACCCCAATGAATTACTTGCATGCAGGCTGTCCCGCTCTCGTTGCGACGCTGTGGGATGTGACAGACAAAGATATTGATCGCTTCGCCAAGTCTACGTTCGAGAAATGGGGACTTATCGGAGACCGGGATACCAATGGCCAACGAACGACGCTCCCGAGTAAGGGAAGGTCCAGATCGGCAAAAACGAGCGGCACTGCATCTTCTGACCCAGTGACGCTGGATGAAGCAGTATCCAAGTCACGAAGTGCCTGTGTGTTGAAGTACCTGAATGGCGCGGCGCCGGTCATTTACGGAATTCCTTCGGTGTTTTTGGAATAGACATGTACATTCTGTGTTTTGGCGTTGGTGTTGGTGTTGGTGTTGGCGTTGGCTCAGCGAGATTGGTCTGTTTCATGCACTATCGGAGTTTTGGGGAAAGTAGATCACTAGGGGATGTCCCAATGAGTGCATTTATTATTGGTATTGTGCATTTACATTCTGTGAATATTTATGAGATCAAAGGCGACGGACGACCTGTCCTTTCCATGGTTAGTGCCCCAATACAATATACGTAACCTCTGCCTTGGTCAACCCAAGTCGCCAACTCCCCAACTACCTAGCAACACAAGAAAGACCAACCCACCATTACCTGGACCAGGTGAAAACTGCGTTTATTATAATTCACAGACTCAAAATGGCCCAAGAGGACGAGTTCGGCCCTGCCTGTCCGATTCCCCTAGTTTACCAGCCTCATGAACGTGTTGAACAGCTTAAAGAACTCCTAGACTATCCTGAAAACCAACGCCAAAGGATCAATATTATGGCACTCATACGGATGTATGAAAGTGGGGAGCTTGGGCCCCTTACAACCGGTCCTAGAATGTGGCTCTGTGATGGGAAGATCATGGATAAGTCGCTCATCAAAGAGAACGGTATTCCTAAAATTCCTAAAGGGTCCGTTGTATGGGCTGAGGTTGGTCTGCACCTTCATTGTTTTAATAAGTTTCTTACCATTCATCTAGGGAATTGAGATGCAGATGAAGGAGGGTCACCTCTAGTAACTATCTCTACACAGTGAGACAGTCCTCACATTCTGTATGTGTAGTTCATGTCCATAAAGGGCAATGTTTTCCGGAATGCAGGATCCACAGTGTGTTTATCATTCGCCTGGAGACTCGGTATTTATTTCTGCTAAGAGGACATCAGACCATTGATTGGAGGAAGCTATTCTGGAGGTCTAGTACCTCTCTAGATAGAGTATCTCCATCGGACGTTGAAAAGGTGGTGGGGAGAAGACAGGAGAATGATGATGGAGTTGCTGCCCCTCACGGTTCCCCTCATTCCCCTCCCCCACCCTTYCGTCACAAAAACCACCCGCTCCATCTCGTCTCCTACTACGACCTTGCAGTTTGACACTCTGCCACAGAGACCAACTGAGATCAAGATCCCACAGCCATGTCCGTCACCACAAAAGCCACAATCGCCTCCTTTGGCGGCAAGCTGCTGAAGCTGAGCCATGCCGCCACCTCGACAAAATGCGAGATGAACTTCAACCTCTACCTTCCCCCACAGGCCTTCCAGGACTCATCCCGGAAGATCCCTGTCCTCATCTACCTGTCCGGCCTAACCTGCACAGCCGACAATTGCTCCGAGAAGGGCTTCTTCCAGCACGGCGCAAGCAAGAAAGGCATCGCAGTGCTCTACCCAGACACCAGCCCTCGTACGTTACAGCATAACACCCCGCCCCCGGTCAATGATAACACACATATTGATGCAATGCACCGAGAACAGGCGGCCTGAACATCGAAGGCGAAAACGACTCATGGGACTTCGGCACGGGCGCCGGCTTCTACGTCGATGCGACGAAGGCCCCCTACAACAACGGGTACAACATGTACACCTACGTCACCGAGGAACTCCCCAAGACGGTCTTCGCGGCGTTTCCGCAGCTCGACTCGAGTAGGGTCAGCATCACGGGACACAGTATGGGCGGTCACGGTGCTCTGACGCTGGTATGTTGACTTGTTTAGTTGGACAGAAAGGGAATAGATAGGCTGACAAGTGTCGTGCGTGACAGTTCCTTCGTAACCCCGGCAAATACAAATCCGTCTCTGCATTCGCACCCATCGCGAACCCCATAAACTGCCCCTGGGGCCAGAAGGCGTTCGCGGGCTACTTCGGCGAAGACCAGAAAGCGAAATGGGCGGAGCACGATGCCACCGAGCTAGTGAAGAAGTGGAAGGGGCGGTTGGATGTCCTCATTGACGTGGTCCGTGTCTTTCTGGCAATTTTCCTTTGGTTTGGAGCGAGACTGACTGAATGGCGCAGGGTACCGGCGACAACTTCTACAAGCAGGGCCAGCTTCTCCCGGAGAACTTCGAGAAGGCCGCCAAGGAGGCTGGCGTTGAGGGCGTCAATATCCGCTACCAGCCTGATTACGACCATAGTTACTACACCATGGCGACGTTCTCGGATGACCATGTCGAGCATGCGGCCAAGTATCTCTTTGCTTAGTGGGTTTCCCCCTGATAATTTGTGATTGCGTCATTCAGTGAAACACGCAAAGCTATCCGAGTACTTCGCTTGAAGATTGCTGTCGCTGTGGATGCTGAAGTGCTCTGCCTAATTGTACATGTATCTGGCGTCTTCTGATGATGATAGCTGATAAAAGTGAGCGTCGGGCGCCGAAGTCACATATATAGAAAGGTTAGCAGGCTGGCCGGTCCGAACAACTCGCAAAGAGCAACGATCTTGTCCAATATTCAGTATCTACTACTCTCTGTGCACAGGATAATGGGCAATCCAAATCGTATTATTGATGTTGTATCTCATATTTTTCATGATTTATCATTAAGTTCTCAAGACCGTACATACATAAACCCTCGTTGATGGGTATCCCTCGTCCGCTGAACATCGGAAATCTGCCATGATACTGGCAAACGAGTCCAGCCGACTGCTCGTAAGATACCGACAACTCCACCTGGCGAGTATGCCCCAGTCATAGAACTCATCCGAGACCGCCATTCCCCGTACCAAAACCCAGCCAAAACCCAGGTCCTCACCTCGTACCAGCAGCGGTCACCCTGACCATGCGGCTCTCTCCGTTTTCTGCATTGCCTCCGCCTCAGTAGCAATGTTGTCTCCTTTTTGTCCAACTCGTCGCTTCCGAATAAATCGAGATGACAAAGAACGCTGTATATCAACGCCTAATCATGCAAACGAATGCCTCACCAACTATATACTTTTTCTGTGCCGATGGTGTAGTGAAGTCCTGACAGTGGGAAGGAAGCGCGTGCCGGGGACAGACCAATCAGTGTTTTAAAGGACCACATGAGAACATCAGTCATCAAACCAAACTGTGGGGGAATCTAAAAGGAAGTGAAATGACTCTGAGGGATGCTGAAGAGTATGGGTGAATAAAAAGATGAAAAGAAATAGAGATGACCATGTCCGAGGTAAAATCATAACCATATCATGCGCTCAATCGCTGGATGAATGACTGTACCAGTTCCACATCAGCTATTCAAATCCAGATCCAGAGAATGACGGAAGTTTGAAAGACATACCGGAAAGAATTGCCGGAACCCCTTCAAGTCCAGCCGGCTCAAAGCACCCACAAACTCTTCAATCAATTCTGCACCCATACCCATGCCGGGCAGTTCACGGTCGCGGAGATACGCAAGGTACTCCAGGCCTGTTTTGGAGTATATCGTACGCTGTAATCCGCCAGCTTCGGCAAGAACCTGCTTGGCTTGTGCATCCTTGGAGTTGAAGGAAGGTGTGGAGGGCAGCGCCCAGCATAATGGCGAGAACCGTGTAATCATGAACTGGCCAAAACCGGGCAGCTGAGCCTGTGCTGGAGGGGCCCCGTTGGAAGCTTCCGGTATGACATCCGGACCGCCCCACGAGCTGCTCATCTTCGAGAGAACAGAGAAGGCCATCTTCGCTGTGGTAAAGTCATCGATATCTTTGGAGAAATGCTCGATAGTAGAGATGACGGTCTCAAAGATGGGTTGATTTCCTTGCACTGGGTTAGCTTATACTAGAACAAGGACTGTTGGTGATGAAGACTCACTTTCACTGATGATGACAGCACCCAAGTCATTGTTCAGAACAGCCAGCAAGAAATTCAGGTATTCCCGTTTCAGCTCAGCCAGTTGAATCTCATCATCCGTGCCGGTTGTGGAATCAGCGATCCCGGAGAACACTCGTTGCAAGAAGGGGGTTAGTAGTGTGTCAAGGATGGAATAGATTTCGCCCTTAAATCCGAAGATAACCTGATCTAKGAGACGTAGGAAAAGTGCCATCTCATCGCGGGAGGAAGTCTGAGTAAGAAGGCCGTCAATCCACCTTGGCAACTGTGGCAGAATTCGAGAGCCGAGGACGCCGATGAGCCTCGAGAACGCGAACCGGGCAGCTGTCCGGATGTTGAACGAGGACTTGAGGGACTCCAAGGCAACCAGCGTGGCTTCCGACACCTGACTGAAGGCTGCTGAGACTTCCGGTGCAGGTAGACTAGACGGCGTGTTCGTTCCAGGCATCCAGTCTGAAAATCCGCGAGCAAGGGTTCCCAGTGCCATGATATCATGATGAATCTGTAGAATGGCTCGTTCATCCTGTGATTTAGCCGCTTCCAGGTTCTTCTCCATGTCGAGGAATATAGGATTGAGCACCGATTGCGCATAGAGGACCTGTTTATCAGCTGAGATGGTGGGAGTCGAACAAATGATACCGACAGCTTCGAAAAGATACAGCTGGCTGTTAAAGATGGCGTCGGCTAGTTCATGGTCCTCCGAAGACATCTCATCCCCGTCAGATCCCTCCGAAGGTAGTTCGGCGCGAATTACCAGAAGATCGCCAAGGGCTTCCACTACGGTTTGCGCGACATTACCAACGTACTGTCTGAGTTGCTTGACCAGGCGCTGGAAAAGGTACCAAGAACGAGTCTTCACCTTCTTGATAGGATGGTGAACCAGTTGGAGGAAGTTCTCCAACACACCCGGAATTAGATGGGTATGGTACTGGAAGAATGAGCTATAGCGCACGCAGATTTCCATATACTGTAATTGAGTTGCCGGATGGGTGAATGAACGAATGTCTAAACGTCGTTAGCCCGATTATTGAGATTATTCATTCGATATACCTACCAGACTCGACCATCCTCAACATCATTTCGATGAGCCTTTCGGCAGCCTGGTTGTTGGGATTACTCTTGGTGTAGAGACTGCCGGCCTTGACTGCGAGATCTCCAAACAAGAACATTTCATGCAAGGCAAGGTCCAGGTCACGCCAGTCCATTTGGGAGCCCGACTGCCGCAGGTTCTCAAAGGTCGCTGCCACCATCTCCGACACAGCCTCCATGTACAGCTGTTCATTGACCGAAGCAATCATCTGCTGAAGAACACCAAGTCTCTTGCGAAGTTCTTGGAATTCTGCCTCGTCCGTCTGCTCATCTTCCTCGCCCCACGAGGAGGTCTCGTCGTATCGCATCTTGGCAATGATAGCCTTCAAGATCGGAAGAAGGATCGAAGAATGCTGGGAAGCAAGGGCGGGGTTGACTTTGGCGATTCTCCTTAGATAGGTCAAGAGGTCGCTAACACAAGGGATGACTGTTGAGCAGACTTCGTCATATTCATCGGAGAAGTATCTCAGGATATGTGGCAGGAAAGCCTGAAGCATCCCATTGGCTTTCTCCTTGCACTCAGCCGAGACGCCTTCCTGTTCCAATACCCGTACAATATCAATGACAGTGATATTGACTAACTTGGCGACGGTTTCCGCCAGATCGGTGTCATATTTGAAGGTGAACCTATTTCCGTGCAGAGGGGGGCTATTCGAGAGTTGAGAAACAATAGTATCGAGATTCAGGAAGATAATCATGTCGATCTTGTCCTCCGGTTTCATCTTCTTGCCGATGATCTCCGTGAAGACATCGACCGCCGCATCCCGCACCTTCTCTTCTCCTTGTCTCAAATCCGCTTTCTGCGCCCGGCCCAGCTGCTGGAACAAAAGATCAAGCATTGTCTGGTTTACCACGAGACCGATATCAATCCAGCTG